TGTGACTGTTGGGACTAATTGTGAGTGGGTGCTTGTGGGAGGGTCACCTCTTCTATGTCATTTCTAGGATTGCCAAGAAAATAACCTACAAAGTTTTTACTGACACGCAATTTTATTGACATATATTTTACATCAGGGTGTCAAGCCCTTCAGGCCCACAGGCTAGAGAACTGGGCCAGTCCTCAAGCCGGTCTGAACCAGCCTGAAGTGCAGTGGCAGCATGGTAACACCGTCGGTTTGTACCCTGGATGAGCCCAAGTGCAGCTGATAATCTATGTGCATCACCTCCCCATGTAGCAGGTGGGGCTAATCTGGTGCACGCCATATGCAGTGTGTGGGTTCACTCTGGGCTGGATGATATGGCTGTGCAGGCCAGATCCGGCCCATGGGCCATCTTGGACACCCCTCTTTTACATTATATCAATTTAACCCAGGCCTTGGACCACAATAACAAGGTCTGGGTTCAAATTTAGGAATGTAACACCAGCTTTGTAAACCTGGTTTGAGCCTCCTCCCAAAAACCTAGGACAACGTATTAGAACACCCAGCTAAAATTTGAATAAACTTTCCCACTCACAAGCAACATTCAACTAAAACAGGGTGTATTTCAGGCGAAAATGGAACAAACACATGACCTCAAATAAAACTTTAAGCATTAAATGAAATCTAGACTGTTACTTGACTGCAGCCATGGTTTTAGACTATACTGCCCCCACCCCAGGGGTTCCCTACTTACCTTTGAGTGCACCTTGCACCATGCTGCCCCTACCTGTGTCTACCCCCAGCCTTACCCCTGCTGGTCCCTCCTCCCAACCCCCACCCCAGCATGAACCCCCACCTACTGCCTCTCCCTCCTTCCAGGCCCACAACTTTGTCCAGCCACGTTGCCCTTCCTGTGCCTCCGTGGCCTTGTGGTTATGCCTACCTTCAAGTCAAAGAGCCATTATAGGCAGGTGATGGGGACGCAGCAGCAGCATGTAGCTGGGAGCAGGGGCTCTAGACAGGCTCCCATTGGCCACAAACGCTAATGGAGAGCTCCCTGCAGATCACTGAGCTGCATTCCCCCTCAGACTTGCATCCAGCTTCTTTCCAGTGATGGATCTTCAGTTCAGCTCACCTATGTTTTTTAAACCTGTCCATACATTTATAGACAATTGGCAGTCCTGGTCAGCTTCTACAGGGTGACAGCTTGTAAATATTTTATTATAAATTAACAGTATTTAGGGTGGCATCTGGGTGCCTCTGCTCTACAATAACAAGGGACCATGTGTAGGAAGTGTAGCTTTTACTACCACTGAATTCTTGGTCTTTATTTAGTTAGTCTTTATTTTTTTTTGTGAGTAGCTGCCTGCTGGATTGAGAGCCCAGTACATTTAACATTAAATGGTGGTATAGTTTATGTGATACGGCTCTTGGTTACTGTTTCAAACTACTAGTATCTTAAAAAGGGCTTAACCACATTTGAAACAAAAATTAACATGTTGGCAGCACAGTTCTAACAGTTTACTTTCACAGGCATCATAATATCTCAAGGCTAAAGGAAATATGTTTTCAGTCCCTGGGTGGGAAATAATAAGCTTGGACTCTAAAGCATGGTTTTTTTCTTGTATAGCAGTTAAGTGAACAATTCCTACCCTGGTTAAAGCAAAACCTGGTGAAAACATGGTAGCAAGTGATTTGTCCAATATTATTCAGCTTCCAGTATAAGACAAGTATTCTGGCATAGAGACAACTAAATACAGTCTGTCTGAGTGTCTTGTTTCTGATACTCTGAAAGGGGAGAAAACTTTGGACAAGAGTTAGAAGTTGTTGTTTTTTTTGCTGGGGAATGGTTAGCCATGACTACATTATGCAACTGAAATAAAGAGAAACAAACTGAACAGAGATAAAAATAGCTTGATGAAAGGATAAAACTAACTTCAGTCATGAGGTGAGATTCTCACCCCACTGAAGTAGATGGGAGTTTTGCTACTGATGTCCGTCATGCCAGAAATTCACCCAGGAGGTCTAAAAGTTTGAAGCTCGTTGGTATAAACTGAAGAAAAAACATTGCGAGGTTCACCTATAAATGTATATACTAGATTTGAGTTTCTTAATAAAGTTAGGGTCAGATTGGCACACTTAAATTCACATAGAAGTATAGCCTATTACTGATTCTGCAAGGAACAAGCACTTTTATGTGGCTATAACTGTGTCCATGTAGCAGGGTTCACTGGCTTGACCAGGTGAAAAGTTACAACTTTTATATGTACACTTAATATTCTTTAAAAAAATCACAAGTATGATTTAGTCTATAACTAACTTGTGCTTTGCATGTTGCCCCAATATTTGTTTTGCATAACTTTTCACCGGGTATTGGATTCTTGGGTATAGAATTGACAGGTACCTCATATCTTGCTACAAAGCTATCCCAAGGAACTTCATAGGAAACAAATTATTTCTTTGGTGTGTATGTGCATGAGGAAAACCCATTAAAACAGATCTGAGTTACAGATCTCTACCTCTAATGGTATTTGATCATCTAAAATTCTATAGAAACTTTTTTAAAACTTGGAGCTGACAAAAAGCATTTGGCCCCAAAAGTAGCTTGCTTTCCATCTAGTGTGCTTCCTTGTGCAAGCACAGGCTTTTTCCTCTTTCTTACGGCATCAGATATCAACTTCCAAATCTATGAGCCATTGCCTGGTATTGTTGCTCGATGCACAGATTTCTGCTGCAGGAAGTACAGGATTGACATTTTACTTTGTATTCAGTAGATTTTAGAACCGGTTTGCTATTTTGAGTCTCTAAATCTGATCATTATGTATCTAAATGATAGCAGTTGGGCTTGTAATTATGTGCAATGTCAAATATGGGTCCAAAATTGTAAAATTACAGGTACAAAATTGGGAAGTAGTGTGTGGCCCCTTTCAAAATAAGAGACTTAATGTCTGAGTCTCTCGCCACAACTGATGTTGTACAAAACTTGTTTCTTCATGAGCCATATAACCTTAAATATATACAGGTTTTAATTATTTATATGCTACTTTAGAAGTATTCAATTCCTTTGGGCTTTTTTTGTAAGACCAGCATAGAAATGGGGGATGCTGTTCTGTCTCTAATTTAAACAATAAATAAAATGTGCAAGAATAACTGTAGCATTTCCGGCTTCAACAAAGAGTGAAAGGGAGAAGGGAATTATATTAACTTCCTGAATGACAACATTCCAGTTTCAAAGACTGGCCATGGTAGATCTTCCAATCAGAAGTGAGCTGTGGAGGGAAGCTCTCCGATTCTGTTTACATGTTCTGTGACTTTTCCTCTTTTTTCACTGGCACACTCACATTCATGTTGTCCAACTTGGAAGGTCCTGTTGGTATGTTGCTATTACATGGCTGCATAAATTACAGGGAAAACGTTGATACAAGAAACTTTGGCAACTAGACAAAGAGAGATCTTTTGCCTGTTCCTCAATAGCCACAGGTAAGGTAGCTAGGTGGATAAATGATAAGGATGGAATGAACAAGCCTCTGTGTGCATGTGAGGAGCCGCTATTTGTGGCTCTGGTTTCAGATGTTATTTTCTTCCTTCTGGCCAGCAAACTGAGTAGGGTAAGTCATGATGAAATGGAGAGTGAAGCACAGCAGAGATTTAACAGATTATGTACTGTGTGGTGGTAACAGTGAGATCTAGAGAGTAACTGTGGATTGAATAAGTGTTAGCTATATCTGAGGATATTAGTAACAGAAGCAGTTGTATCCACTTCAGGTCTGTAGACAGTTTTGAGAGGAGAAAACAGTTCCACTGACAGAAGAGTTTACGCAAAAATGCTTGTCTGTGCTACCAGAGAACAAATTATTGCTCACATACAATATTCTTAATACAATCCCCAAATGTGGAATGGATGTGGATATTCATTGTCTAAGCAGGCATTTTAGGAAACTGGTTATTCAGTGTCGGGGAAAAAGAGCTGTGATCCTGAAAGACACACGCAGGCACTGTGAAGCAAAATGACTGTGCTCAGTTGGAATAAGATCTGTAAAAACATCCTAATTGTGAACTGGATCCTTTTATTATAAGTAGATTAAGAGAAGTAAACTGGAATATGTGTATATCTCAGTAGTACATGACTTCTTTCAGGGAGTTCAATTACCTTCACAATTTGGCTTTTGAAAGAACATTTCTCTTGTAACTAGAACAACATTTAATCATATAAAATATTCATTGTGCTCGAATACGAAATCTAACTGTGCTTTATGCTAGTTATATTTGTTCTTTTTCTAGTGTCATGCATTCCTTCTTTGCTTGTAAGAATTTTTGAAAAGTCAAACAGGTGAAAATTCATGTTTTAAAAATGCATGGGGGTTCATTCTGTATTTTCTGTACAATTTGGGTAAGCCTTTGACTGCACTTAATAGACTTAAGTTGGCTGTTCATTCATGTCGGGCACCAGCAAATTCATATCTCTGATAATTCACTGAATAAACAAAAGGCCTTGCATGGCACCTAAAACTCCAAGGAATGCAAAGAGTTAATGATGGAGTCACACGGCATTCAGTGTATTTGCAGATGTTGCTGCAGCCGACTGCTGATTTTTTTTTTTTCTTTCTTTTTTTTCCCCATCCTGTCGGAACCCTGCCAGCCATGATTCACGGAATGATTTTTTTGCGCTGAGTAATATGTGGTTTTTCTTCTCCCCTCCCAATGTTTTTCTTCCCTGAAGTCCTTTCTATATTAGCTGTGAGTCTTGTTAAACAATAACGTAAAAGAATAACCATACACAAGGCTGTGTTCTGAGGAGAGGATTTTAATAAACATTAAACCTTCTCCTTTATTGTGTCTCAGGCAAACTGATCCAATGCAGACAAACAGGGTCCTGTAAAAGAGAGAATTCAGCTTTTGTTTTGGAACAGTGTCTTTCTAAATCTAATAGCATGGTGTGACAGTCCTTTCAGGCTTTGTGCTAGTGTTGCTAAAGAACATTAACATTTTGAGCTGATACTATGTCTCCTCTCTCACAGATCGCTCTGAAAGACATAAACCAGACTACCGCTCTTCAGGGTAAGAACTCTATTCCTGTCTTTATTTTGTGTATTTATTCCCCCCTCCTCCCTTAAACTCCTTTATTTTTTTTTTAACTTCAGTAGGCTGGGTTAAGGGAATTGCCCAAAAGACTATAAAAATGAAATCTACTTTGTCTCTGTTTTGGTAATGGGAAGAAACTGTTAAATTCCACATTGCATTAAATTTAACTGTTTTATATTCCTATTGGGCTGAAATTTTTGAGTTAACAGATTTCCACCATTGGAATGTTATGTTTAAGGAATAACAAGAAAAAGCCTTGTTTATGAAATGTACTGGGTTGTGTGGTAAAACTGCAGCTTAAAAAGCAAAAACTATAGCTTGAATAAATCCAAGGTTGAAAATGTGGTTTCTACTTTCATATGAACCTGGGCATTTGCCTCTGACGAGGAAAAGAAATTTCAGTTGAGAAACATAAGTGCATTCAAACCTTACCATTATTCCCCAAGATCTGGATCAAGCATACTTAAGGCCTGCAAGCCAGAAAATTATAATGGGCAGTATACAAAACACACAATATAGTTTTCCTTGATTCTGACCTCCCATAAATGGTAAGCCTTAAACTTTCAAAATGTTCAGTTGTGATAAAACCATGAAAAGATTGACCCTTGAGGCTTATCTGAATTTCCTTGGTTACCATTTTCCCTTCTTCCTGTTTCTTTTCCATTTTTCTATCTTCAACTTTTTTTCCCTTTTCCCCCATCACCTTATTCCAATTCTCTCTTCCTACCTGGGAGTAAAAAGGGCAATTGAAGAAGCAGTGGCATGAAAAAGAAGATAAACTCATTTAGTATGCTAGCTACCATACCTGTTTTGTGTTCTTTGCTCCTACTCCATTTTAGATCCTGTCTAGTCTGTCGTCTTCCCACTTTACACTAGTGAAACAGCACTTTTCAACATCCACAGTGAGACTTTCTTGGCAAAAATTTAGGGGCAGGGGTGGACAACTTATTTTGGCTAAAGGGCCACTTAAGGCAGGGGTGGGTAATAATTTTGGGTGGAGGGCCACTTACTGAGTTTTGGCGAGCCATCAAGGGCCATATGACAGGCAGCCAAGGGCAGATAAATATTTATTTTCTAAAATTTTTGTGGGCACTGCGAGCCGGACAGAATGGCTTGGCGGGCCACATTTGGCCTGTGGGCTGCATTTTGCCCACCCCTGACTTTTGGTAAGCTGTTGCAGGCTGGGGGGGCA